CTCGGCAGCTGCAGCGCAGCGTCCCGGCTCTCCCCGCTCCCCCTCCCCAACCCCAAACCCCAAACCCTAAACCCTAAAAAAGGGTTTGGCGCACTTGCATCGGTGGGCCATGATGGAGGGCTGCAGCCCCAGCAGCACGCGAACCTCCGAAGCCAACACACTCGGCAGCTGCAGCGCAGCATCCCGGCCACTGAGGTCTAAGTTGTCTTCAGCAAAAGCCCATCCTCTCCAGCTGCTGCGGTCTCTCTCGCTCATATACTTTTCTTTTTCCCGCTGCAGCAGCAGCAGCGCCTCTGCTTCTGCTGCCAGCGGCGGCAGCGCAGCAGCCACGCTGCTTCTGCTGCTGCTGCTGCTGGCAGCAGCAAAGTGTGGGGCGGGGAGTCGAAGCGGAAGTGGTGTCTGCTGCAGGGCTTGGGCTGCCGCTTCGCAGAGACCGACAGTTTGAACAAAGTTGCTCCTTCATCTTCGCAGGTTTTGCGGCGGTAGAAGACGTAGTCTTCCCCCACCACTTTGCCCTTCTTCGTCACGTACAGCAGCAGCAGGTCCGCGCTGCTGCTGCTGCTGCTGCTGCTGCTGCTGCTGCTGCTGCGCCAGCGCGAGAGCCAGCGCAGCGCGGCACTTGCGGCCCGCGCTGTAGGCCCGCAGCGCCACCGCCTTCGGCCGCGAGTGAACCAGCAGCGCCTGTCTCCTCAAAACGCCTTCGAAGAGAGAAGCAGCAGAGACGGAGGAGAGGACGAGGAAGGCCCGCATGCACTGGCGCTCGCGAGCGGGCCCAGGCAGCGGGCACAAAGAGGAAGGCAGCAGGTGCTGCAGCAGCAGCAGCAGCAGCAGCAGCAGCAGCAGCGGCAGGGGAGGTGAGGGGGGGGAGAAAACGCGGAATGCGGGGAACCAGCGGCAGCATAAGGCGGCAGCACGGCAGCAGCAGATAACGGCACACACGCAGCACACACACAGCAACAGCAGCAGCAGCAGCAGCAGCAGCAGCAGCAGCAGCGGCAGGGGAGGAGGTGAGGGGGACGGGGAGGGAAAGGCAGCGGCAGCGTAAGGCGGCAGCACGGCAGCAGCAGATAACGGCACACACGCAGCACACTCACAGCAACACCAGCAGCAGCAGCAGCAGCAGCAGCAGCAGCAGCAGCAGCAGCAGCAGCAGCAGCAGCAGCAGCAGCAGCAGCAGCAGC